ACCCCCTTGCTCACCTTTAGACTTGCGCAGCTCAAATCATGTGATAGAGTACATGCGACCATGCAACATGGGGGAATTGAACTCCCTGAGCGATACTTCCTCGACTACCATCAGCATACTTGCAATTATCATCCCCCCTCACCACCCGAATGGCCAAAATATGTGGCCTGAAAGTGAGCCCTGCGAAATCAACCTGCCTAGGTCCTTGTAGAGCGTGCCCCTTGAGAAGGAGCGAATAAACTGGTATCATAGTTATTCAGAAAGATAGTGCCGTGGGGGGGTCCCGCAAAATTTGAATTTCCGGCGACCCAGAAGGGTTCGTAGGCTGGTCAGATGAGGTTGGTGGTGGGTCTCGCGGCGGCGCCGGTGATGGTGCGGGGAGCGCGGTGGTCCGAAATGGAGATGAGGATGCGGCAGTGGGAGCAGTTCAGGACGACTAGTTATTCTTGGTCGATTAGGGGCCGTCAGGTGCCGCTGTAATTACCTTAAGCACATCTGAGACACCGGTTATAGTTCTTTGATACAGCCGGAAGAAGGACACCTTTCAGCATGGAAAGGCTCCGGTGAGGCAATGCTCACCGTCTCTCTTACCAATTTGGGCTTAGCGTATAAGTTTCGCGACACCGGAATCGAAGACCTCATTAGTGAGTGGGAAGGAGTATTCTGCGCAGCTGCGCAGGGAGCTTTGAAGGGTTTACCGGATACTCGAGTGGGCCGCTGGTGACCTGGATAGGAAGAGGATGAGGTTGGACGGTGCAGGTACTTTTAAACACTCTGGGGGTTCGTACAGCAGAAACGACTTCCACTTCGGCCAGGTGACAAAAGACTTTTATTGATATGAACACTAGTGATAAGGGAGAGAAATGAAAGAACTAGAAAGAACAATAGTATCGTGAATGATAGTGAATTACTTCAACAAAAATAGAACCAATCAGTAAAGGTAGAGAGAGACAGTGATTGCCATGGATGGTCACCAACAAATGAACAAACAAGACAAACAGCTTTATATCCAATGATTTTCCTTCACAGACATGCTACCAGCACATGCAAGATCTCCCCCCCCTCCTAAGCTATCCTTCCGCCTGCTTCACAAGTACACTCCCGAGGTATAGAGTTCCGAGCCGAGGGTGGAGCTCTATCACTTGCCTTGGGTATAATCAATCGTGATATGTGTTGTCTGGCCGTCTCTGTTCTTTCATTACCAGTAGGTTGCTGTTTGATCCTGATGCAACAAATATGCAGGGTTGGTATGGGTTTCGGTATGAAGGTAATCGTGGTGGAACATCTCTTAAATAATAGTTGGTATGAGGCGGCTGCTAGGGAGTTTCTCATCCTCCCGGAATGGGCAATAGCGTATGTGGTGAGCAGCCAAAAAAATTATGAATGTCCAACAGGTACGGGGAGTCGTGATGAAGGGTGGCCAGTGATACCAATCAGCGGTACGGCGCTCTCCCTTAAGGGTCCTCGCTATGGCGGGTCATGGGAAACAGGACACTTTGATGACACATGTGTTTACGTCCCCCCCCCTTTATACGGCCGGCTATGTAATACAGGGACACCCGTTTGCTGGGAGTGCATTTGCGCGGTTGTGCAAATTACGGGGTGTCGCTCACATAGTGGATTTTGCTGGGCAGGGCCACGGCGATAGGCAGGGTGGGGAATGAAACCGGTATCGTAGCTATTGGAAATGGGGCCATGGGAGATAGCATTGCGAGATACAGTCTTCACCAGACCGAAGAATTTATAGTGAAAACCTTTGTAGAAATATAGTACTTGTATATAACTACCAACAAAAAAAACAATCCGCAGTAATTGTAACCCCTCCATTCACTCCACTTTGGGCGCATGAGACTCACTAGGATCATCTTGATCATCCGCTTTCCCGTGTGCCCCGCTACAGCGCTGAATCGGGGGTGATGGCTCAGAGTGACCCGGGGGAAGCGCGAAGATTCTAGGACCCCACTATCGCAAAACCCAATTAAGTGCAGACATCCCGGCTATGCTGCTACAACTCCAAGGAGAGTATGATAAGTCGGGGGCAGCAAGGTTCCGCCACGGCAGACACAGCAAAGAGATCGGGACAATGTGTGGCCCACTCCATCGGCCATGCCATCCATCGTGAATGGGGCGCCACAGTCCCCCAAAAGTGGTTCATGATACTGCAGGCAGTTTTGCTAGACGAGGGGGGACAGGAGTGGACTACTAGTTTCTACCGGCGCGGGATACCCTCGGAATCTCCACGGGACACTGGCAGAGTGTGCGAGACTAGTAACATTGACGAACCAGAAGCCATGAGTGGCGGGCGAACTGGTGGAGTGCAGTACAAGTTACGGAGAAAGTGTCGGAAATCGAGATATAATACTATTCCCGGAGACAGGGTATGCGTATGCCTGGTAGGCGGTTGTCCTGTAGGCTACAAACCGGAATAAAACACTGGGAAACGCAGGGCCCCGCGTATGCTGTGCCATACAAGGCGAAGGACAGATGTCACCGGCAGAGGCAGGTTTTACGTGCACAGCAGCCATACTTTCACATCATTATGACACCCCCTCTACTCAATCGATCAAACCCGACATTTATTGCATATCCGAGAGAATTCCTCCGATTTTCCGTTCCATGTTCTCACAAATAAACAATTGGTTTTGTAGGATGCTAGTTGATTGAAGAGTAAATGCGTCATAGGGTCTTGGCGCTTTTTTATGGGAAAATGTGGTTTTCTTGCCGTTCAGGAACGCCAATTGAATAATTTTAAAGGCTGCTAAAGAATTGATTTATCTCAAACGACCCTAAGCTTTTCGTGTACGAAAGGTTGGCATAGTCCCAAAGCTCGTACCTGTATTTCTTTGTACTCATTGGGAAATCGGGGAAGGAAATTCGACTACCTCAACTCGCCTACACTAGCGGTGACTCCTGTCCCTACCCCCGTACACAGTCTACGCATAGTACAAGAAAACGAAAGTGTGGAGGGGCATGAGAAGGTCTCAGACTAGACAACGGCGCAACTCTATGGACTGCTAACAAGCTAGCTATTTTATTGAAGGAGCGATGCCCGTCTAGCAAGTTATGTAGCATAGCTGAAACACAGGCAACTCAGTAAACCTGGAACGATTTGAGCGGGCTCATGAGGGGCGCGATAGAGTTCCGAGAGAACAAGTACTGAATTCTTTGGAGACCGCCAAGAGGCTGAAGGCATCACGAGGGAAGCGATCCCAGCCCGAAAGGAGTAGCCGAGTGAAAGAGGAAGAGGTAGTAGATGAGCTAAACCTTCGTAGATCATTAATCCAATCAATATTCTGTTGTTTATGTCACGGAAAACCGAATATTGGGAGATCTTAAGGATGGGCCGGTTGAAAGAGCAATGGGGTATGCGGTGATGGTGGAGAGAGCACTGGATGTCGAGAAGCGGTTCGGGAAAGTGGTGGGTCGGGGTGGTGGCTAAAGTTCAGTTAAAGCAAAGAGAGAATCAGACAGCTATAGTATTCAATATACAAAGATGTAGAAGTTCCCAAATTGGCAGCGTGCTCAATGATAGCGTATCCGAGACCACCGGTATGATAACATGCCAGTACTAGTAGTGCGGGTTGAGTTTGCCAAAAAAGTCCACCACTCCCCGACTAAAAATAGCTTAGCCAATCTTCGTGGGGGCTGACTGGCATCCCGCCTCCAGTAACCTGTCGACTCATGGCGCACCGATATCGCACGGCCGCATGCGCGCATTTCCTCTCTCCTATGCCGAAGGACACCAGCTCCAACTGCACGATCACACAAACTACTGTACAGTACTCGTACGGTACTCGAGTAAATTACGTGCTCTAGCCTTATTGCTTAGTAAATTACCGGTACACTATCCACCACAATAATTGGGCCTCGCGCGCTACCTTGGACGTCCAAAATTCTATCTTCAATAGAGCTGAGTAGGATGTGTGTTGCCACATGTCATTTGCTGGCCATTTACCAACTCGCTAAATTAATCACCGTATCCCAGCCTCGCGCCACCTGCAGTACCACCTGTCTCATTCCCGTTGGGAGTTCCCACGGCTGGGCCGACTGCGCTTACGCGCCCGGAAAATAGTCCGCTCGCTGTCATGGGTCTCACGAAATTATGATTGATACAGGGCAGGCGTGTCATGTTTTCGATTTTCATTGTTTTATGCACCGGCTCTGGTTTTGGGAGCTCGATCGATTTTGGGGCCTATTAGTGCGCTGGTTTAACCTCGCAGATGGGAACGGGGGTGCTGTGTCACATGATAGGGGCGTAAGGTGCCTCCCACCAGCGGCCGAACTCTATTCCTGTACCGGCATGGTTGGTTACACGAGTATGCTCAAATTTCTACACCCTGAAGTTCCAGCCGATAGAGTACTCAAACGTGTATTCCAGAATGCACGGCTACCTCACTAGGTACTTGAACTGTGCTCACGTTCGTGGTGTGCAGGAAAATCCCCCCCAGTCCGGAGATCCTTGTCAACTTATCATCTCATGTAGGCTCTTCTGAGGCGTAAAAGGGAATGCATCAAATGATGATTGTTGTCCAAAGCCAACACTTCCCAGAATATTTATACGAGGAAGCTGGCTGCAGGGTTAGGGTACCGAATTCCCCACCCCTCTTAAGCGTCACCCACGCCACCCTGCTACATAGCCAAAGACTTCCGGGTTGCCCATACAAAACTTTCACCCTTCTTACCATCGCGAAGCGCTGTCGCTCTAATTCCTACCCCTCATCCTTACGCTAGACCCTGAGCCTCCTTTGAAGTGAAATAGCCAGACCCGGAACCGGGATTACATGCCAAAGCTACCCCAAAAGTAGAGAATTATTCATCTCCATATTCAAGGGTAGGTCCCCCGCAACCCGTTCTATGGTACCCTATCTCGCGGTACTGACATGTCTTAGCGCGAGCGAAACGATTTTGAAAAGCCTCGGTTGACGAGGTCGTCCACCTTTCCCATTTCAGATACGCTAGCGACATCTCGTTAATTATTGCTCTTTCCTACCTAACCTTTGAAAACGGCCTTACAGTAAGCTGAGAACTAGAGTATAAGATGGACCGGTAGGTTCCTCTTCCCTCCAATGTCTGCGATTTCGAAAACAATAAGCACGCGCCTAATATCCTTCCCAGAGGAATCCAGGGCGATATCCGGGGAGACTTTAGCGGAAACTCCGGGGATCACAATGTTTTCGGCAGTAATAATAACACGGGGAACATTGCCGGTAATCACGGAACAATTTACCAAAGATGTGTGTTTGGAGCTGGGGGAAGAGGTATTGTCAGATTTCCAGGGAGATTTCGGGCAATGTTCTAATGCGCTATTAGTAGTAGAACAAGCATCCAGGCCTTATCGCGTAATTCCCTATTGCAAAAATACCAATTTCACTGGCCGTGAGGATCTCATTGAATCGCTGAGGAGATATTCTGAGCGTAAAGGGCACAACCGGATCGCGCTTCATGGATTGGGCGGTTCTGGGTATGTATACATGATCGCCATTTTAGGAGTCTACTAACCTCGTTTAGAAAGACCCAGATTGCCCTCGAATACCTCTATCGGCGCGCAAGCGAGAGCGAATGTGATATTTTCTGGGTGCGCGGGAGTGGGCTGCCAAAGTTTAGCGAGGACCTTAGAGCGATAGCACAACATGTTCAGATTCCACCACCCAGCGCCGAGCCAGACGAAGAGAGTCTCCTGTTAAATATCAAGAGGTGGTTTGAAGGACAAGCCAGGGGCGATTGGGTGTTGGTTATTGACAATGCCGACAATGAGGAGGACTTTAAGGGCAACCGCGGTCGCATTTCCAGATTTGTACCACAAGGGTCTCGGGGTACCTTGATACTCACCACTAGATCAACCCAGGTTGCATCACGAGAGCGTTGTGAAATGATTGAGGTCCGAAAAATGGCGGAGAATGATGCCCAAGAATTGTTTTTGAAACTCTTGGGTAACGTGAACTGCTCGAGAGATGGAGAAAAAGAGGCGATCACAATGATCCTGCAATCTATACATCACATCCCACTGGCTATCATAGGCGCAGCAGCCTTCATGACAGAAACCCAGACTCCTCCTTCTACTTACTGGTCTATTTTTCTCGGAAGCGACGAGCACGCCAAGAGGCTTCTTTCACGGCCGTTTTTCGATATCCAACGAGAGACCGACATTACTGAGAGCACCCTCACTACGTATTTCATCACCTTTGACCGGATTGCAAGGGGGATGCCGCTAGCGGCGGATCTTTTGCGTTTAATCGCCTTCTTCGATCGTCAGAACATACCCGAAGAGCTATTGCGCCAAAGCGGCTTGGAAGGGATAGACGATCAAATCCAGTTTCGTGAGGCAATTGGAAAACTATTAGGATTTTCGCTAGTTACGGCCATCGCACATGAGGACACGACATTTTACGAGCTACATCGATTGGTGCAACTGTCTTTGCAAGTGTATTTACCAACAGGAGAGTTGAGTCGATGGAGGGGCAACGCACTGAAAGTGGTTTCAAGGGTTTTCCCTCGGCATTGGACCACGTGGAAGGATGTTAGTTCTGCATACATTCCTCATGTACTTGTAGTAACCAACAATTCAACGGATCCCATTGCCGAAGAGCTTTGTTTTCGCTTGGGACAGTACTTTCAAGATGTGGGTTCATACAATAACGCAGAAACACAATTGCGTCGATGTATTGCACTGCGGGAGGAGAGTACAGAGCATGACTGGGATGAGGGGGGTCCGAGGAGAGTTCTATTCCTGGGTTTGATATGCATACATCAAGGAAAGGCAAATGTAGCCGAGGACATGCTTCGGAGGTTATTAGAGCATATTGGGAAATCATTGGACCCAAACCATCTAATCGCCCAGGACGCAATTCGACACTTGGCTTGGGCGCTATTGAACCAAGGGAAGTACGACGAATCAGAAGAGATGCATCGGCGTGCACTGCAGGGGTGCTGGAAGATTTATGGACCAGACCACTCAAACACCCTAACAAGTGTCAACAACCTGGGTCTGTTACTGCAATCCCAAGGAAAGTACGACGAATCAGAAGAGATGCATCGGCATGCACTGGAGGGGCGCGAGAAGATTCTTGGACCCGACCACCCAGACACCCTAACAAGTGTCAACAACCTGGCTTTGGTGCTGCAAT